AAGCTAGCCAGCTACGCAGCTAGCTCCATAGCTAGCTAATACAGCATTTACAATATATATATATATATATATTCATTACAAAGCAAACAAACAAACAAACCTGCATATATAGACAAACAAATAAATAAATAAGACATATATATATATACTTATATACATATATATATATATATATATTTATTTATTTATTTATTTATTCATTTATTCATTTATATTTATTTATTTATTTATATATTACCTCTTTGAAGATGTTCATGATATTGCCTGCGCCTCCCATTTGTTTTAAAATGCGGGGATCGATCGCCGCCTGCATTTTGTTTAAAATTTGCTGAGGGTTTCTCGCTAAATTTTGCAGAGTTGTTTCTTTCGTCAAACCTACCCTGCCCATCTTGTTCACCATCTTGCTAAACCTAAAAATATATTCAAATAGAACCAAATCGCTACAAATAGATATAAATATATGCATATATATGTATATATATGTATATATACATATATATATATGCATATAAGCTATCTCTTTATATATATATATATTATATTTATATATTTATATATAATATTATATATATTATATATAGGTAGATATCTAACTCAGTAAACAGATGAATAAATATAAAAGAAATAACAAATAAATAGAGACATAGAACAACTCAATAACCAACTAAATAAATAGATAAACCCTAAACCCTAAACCCTAAACCCTAAACAACAACTCACTGTTTGTGCTGCTCCAGCAGCAAGCGAACCTCTTCCACCGAAACCCCAGACCCCTGGGCTACACGCAAAATGCGAGAGTCGGTGAAGGGCTTCTCGCAAGCTAACTCTGCACACAAACCCTAAACCCTAAACCCTAAACCCTAAAGTTCAATATGATCTAACAGCTGAGCCACAGAAGAAACCCTAAAATTAATTAGAGACTTTTTAAGTCAATCCAACGGAAGGGTTTTCTACGGACACTCTAAACCCTAAACCCTAAACCCTAAACCCTTGTCTGCGATTGGGAAGTATTGAACCCTCGCAGAAAGGAAGAAGAGCGTGGTGAAGCAAATTTAAAAAATAAATAAATAAACGCAACACCCAACAAAGACAGAGACAGACGTAAGCAGAGACAGGAAGATAAATAAAGAAAGAGACAGTAAGAACGCAGGGTTTAGTATTACTTAGGGTTTAGGGTTTAGTATTAATTAGGGTTTAGTATTAATTAGGGTTTAGTATGATTTAGGGTTTAGTATTTATTAGGGTTTAATGCTATTTAGGGTTTATGACGACAGAGGGCTTTAGAGGACTGCGGCTGTACGACCACCGAGGGTTTAGGGTTTAGGGTTTAGGGTTTGGGGTTTGGCTAAGCAGCGTTTGTCATAGAGTGGACAGCACCAGTTAGTCCTTTCAAGCGGAGAGGTGAGAGGGTTTATTAGGGTTTAGAATTAATTATAGCCCATTAGGGTTTAATAAGCTTCGCTATACATGATTAGCGTACATTAGGGTTTAGGGTTTAGGGTTTAGGGTTTAGCCCACCAGCCTTAGTCATAGAATCCATAGCACACGTCAGGCGCTTCACTCGAAGAGTTGCGAGTCGCTCTTCTCCTTTTGGCAGCAAATTCGAACCCAACCCCGGAATCATACTCATCACCTACGCGCAAACCCTAAACCCTAAACCCTAAACCCTAAACCCTAAACCCTAAACCCTAAATTCGAAACCATCCTAAACCCTACATAGGCAGCAAATTCGAGCCCAACCCTGAAATCATCCTCATCGCCTACTCACATAAACCCTGGTTTTGCTGGTTTTGCTTATGACTTGCTAGGGTGTAGGGTTTGCTAGGGTTTAGGGTTTATTAGGGTTTAGGGTTTAGGGTTTATTAGGGTTGTTCTTACTTTACTGATAGGCCCCATTTTGAGTACATTCTGAAACTGGTCGTACATATCTTGAAGAGTAAATTTACCCTTTGAAATTCGCTCAATCATCTCTTGCTGTTTCTCTGCAGATATTACTTCTTTTAAAGTGTTTACAAGACCACCCATGTCTCCTAGCCCTATTAAACAACAACATAAAAATATATTTAGTTAGTTAGTTAGTTATTTAGTTTACTTAGTTGTTTGTTTGTTTGTCTGCTTGTACATTTGTAATTAATTAGAATCTCATACCAACAATCAGAAAAAATCAAGGCTGCAACTGCCACCAAAAACCCTAAACCCTAAACCCTAAACCCTAAACCCTAAACCCTAAACACTAAACCCTAAACACTAAACCCTAAACAAAGAATAATAAACGCTAAACCCTAAACCCCAAATCCTAAACACTAAACCCCATATCTTTAGCTCCAAACCTCAAACCCTAACCATTCCCCAAACCCTAAACCCTAAACCCTAAACCCTAAACCCTAAACCCTAGAGCTCTATTTGAGTACTTTTATTAAAATGGATTACCTAGAAGACGGGAGACGAAAGAATTCGCATCAAAGGGGTCAAAATCATCAAAATGTTCGCCACTACCTAAAAATATAATTGGGGCTCCAGTTGCAGCCACGCTGCATGCATGCAACACCACCACCAAACCCTAAACCCTAAACCCTAAACCCTAAACCCTAAACCCCAAATAGATCCTCCAGCTGTACTACTTAGGGTTTAGGGTTTACAGCAAAACCCTAAACCCTACACCGACGTACCCATCTCCCTCGTGTACTTCACTAGGGTTTAATGCGCATAAAGGTAGTGTTTATAAACGGTGTTAACGAGGCAGTGTTTAGAGCTAGCTAGGGTTTATTAGAGTTTATTAGGGTTTACTAGGTTTTATTAGGGTTTATACTGGTTAATTAGGGTTTATAAGGGTTTATAAGGGTTTGTTGAGGTTTACAAGGCTTTATAAGGGTTGCTAAGGGTTTATAAGGGTTGATTAGGGTTTATGCGGGTTAATTAGGGTTAATAAGGGTTTATAAGGGTAGATTAGGGTTTGATCGGGTTAATTAGGGTTAATAAGGGTTTAGAAGGGTTGATTAGGGTTTGAGCGGGTTAATTAGGGTTTATAAAGGTTTATAAGGGTTGATTAAGATTGGGGTGTACGTACGCAGAAAGAGCTCCGCCTCCCTTTGCATGCCCATCTAACTTTGTTATTATTACACTTCCTACAGAGACGCTAGCAGCAAATGCTGCAGCCTGATCATAGCAAGCTTGCCCTATGTGCGAATCTACAACAAAGACGATATCGTCAGGGTTCTGAAACGCACAAACCCTAAACCCTAAACCCTAAACCCTAAACCCTTCCCATAGACGCTATGACCTTCCTATAAACCCTAAACACTTAATATGAAAACCCTAAAACCCTAAACCCTAAATATTATTAGCTTCCAATAAACCCTAAACCCTTGCTATACAAACCCTAAACCCTTCCTATAAACCCTAAACACTTGCAATGAAAGCCCTAAACCCTAAACAGACACGCGGAAACGGCTAACACACAAGCATGCCCTCCCCTCGGCTCCCCAACAAGCAACGCACCGGACCAGAGCAAAACCCTAAACCCTAAACCCTAAACCCTAAACCCTTACCACAGCATCTGCAACTTGCTGCATTTCTTCAAACAATGCAGCTTCTTGTCTGTGTCTGCCTGAGGTGTCTACGACAATCAGGTCGTAACGCTCATCTCTAAACTGCTGCACTCCCTCTTCCGCTATCTTCACCGGATCCGCCTCCGTGTAGCTGCGTTCAAACCCTAAACCCTAAACCCTAAACCCTAAACCCCCGGATGACTTTTTTCGACAGCGTCCCACTCTTAGGGTTTTTCTGGTGGGCATCCGGGGTTGAACGTACACTGTTTATTTAGGTTTACTAGGGTTTATTAGGGTTGATTAGGGCTTACTAGGGTTTAGAGTTTAGGGTTTAGGGTTTAGGGTTTAGGGTTACCTTCCAAAGAAGGGGATCCTCGCTTTGGTTGCATTTTGCTTCAGTTGGTCGAAGGCCCCAGCACGAAAAGTGTCAGCGCAAACTAAAGCAGTACGCCAGCCTAAACAACAAATAAATAAATAAAATAAATATATAAATAAATTAAATAAATCAATAATAAATAGGAAGTGAAGGAATTAATAGACGCACAGGCAGACAGAGAAAGAGCTGCAGCAACAGCAGCAGAAGCATCAAAATTTCAAGCCCCCAACAAACCACCACGAGCAACAGCAGCAGCATCAGCAGCAGCAGCAGCAGCAGCAACACGAGCATTAGCAGCGCAAGCTCAAGCAACAGGACGAGGATCCTAAGCCACCATGCACCCCAGCCGCTGCCTCTTCTGATGCTGCTGCTGCTTCCCCTGCTGCTGCTGCTGCTACTGCTGCTGCCCTGCTGCAGCTGCCCATTCTGCTGTTTCTGCTGCTGCTGCTCCCGTTCTGCTGCTGGTGCTCCCCGTGCTGCTGCTGCTGCTGCTGCTGCAGCAGCCCCTTCTGCTGCTGGTGCTGGTGCTGTGTATATTACCTTTGCGTTGATAGTATAATGCATATTTTGTGCAGGTTGTAGTCTTCCCAGAGCCCTGAAGCCCGACGAACATCACCACGTTCGACGAGCCGCGCTTCAAAGGCCGCGCTGTCTTCTGAGGGGTTAATAAACCCACCAACTCGTTTACTACACACTGAACAAACAAACAAACAAACAAACAAACATAATATATATATATATATATTTATATATATTTATGTTTATGTCTTCTGTGCGGTTAATAAACCCACCAACTCGTTAACTATGCCTCACTTACCTCAAATAAACACACATTAATATATATAAATATATATTATCTACATGCATAATATACATATACATATACATATACATATATATATATATATATATTTCATGTATACTTCTTTACATACAAATATATATATATATATATATATACTAAACCCTAAACCGTAGACCCTCAAACCCCTAGCAGCCCAGCCCTAAACCCTAAACTGCAAAGCGCTGCTGAAGGCCCTCCAGGGACGAAGGCGGCTTCTCGGCGTCTTATCCGCCAGCTAGCCACAGCTAGCCGCAGCTAGCTACCCAACTTACTCACTAGCTGTGGCGAGCTATGGCTAGCTAGGCGTAGCTGCGGCTGCCTATGGCTAGCTGTGGCTGCCTATGGCTAGCTGTGGCTAGTTATGGCTAGCTGTGGCTAGCTGTGGCTAGCTGTTAGGAAGATCACCTTCTGTATGATGCGTCTGGTGTTGACTCCCGCTGCTGCTGCCTGTATATACACCTCAGCCATCACATCTCCCTGAGGCCCCGCACTGACGGCTGCACCGCTAGCAGCATCGAAGCCCTTTGAGCCACCTGCAGGTGCTGCTCCCTTCTTCTTGCTGCTGCTGCTGCTGCTGCTGCTGCTGCTGCTGCTGTTGCTGCTCTGCTGCCGAATTTGCGTGTTGATCTGCTGCGTCACCTTCCGCTTAAACTCCTGCACAACCCGCAGCTGCACGTCTGCCAGCAGCAGCGCCCTGCAGACGGTCTTTACGCAATCATTTACCACCTGCAGCAGCAACAGCAGCAGCAGCAGGTGTAGCAACAGGTGCAGCAGCAGCAGCAGCAGCAACAGCAGCAGCAACAGCAGCAGCAACAGACCCCTTTTGACCTTCTTCCGCAGAAGAACACCAAAAGGCAACAAGCCGGGCTGCAGCAACAGCCCAAAGCTACTGAAGCCCTAAACCCTAAACCCTAAACCCTAAACCCTAAACCATAAACCCTAAACCCTAAACCCTGCAGCTGTCTGTTGTGTCTGTATTTAGGGTTTAGTGAACGACAGCTTTTCTCACGGCCTCATCAACAATTGTGGCGCTCTGGAGGTTCCTAAGAGCACCTGAAATCTGCTGCCCGAGCTCTGCAAGCACCATTTTCGCTGCTGCTGCTGCTGCTGCTGCTGCTGCTGTCGCTGCTGCTGTTGCTGCTCTTGTTGCTTCGGTTGCTGCAACCAACCAACTAGCAGCAGCAGCAGCTGTTGCTGCGGAGGCTTAGAAATCCCCAGGCGTGCTGCGGCTTCAGCCAAAGTGGACGCTGCCAAACGGAGCCACAAAAAACCCCTGCTGCTGCAGCTGCTGCAGCTGTTGCTGCCGTTGCTGCTCCTGCTGCTGCAGGGAAGGGGGGTTGCTTTCAGCTCTGCTGCTGCTGCGACACCGCACAGCAGCGCGATGCGGCGATCGGAGTTCAGGAGAAAATACTTCTGCGTAGGCCCCCCAGCGGCAAGCCCTAAACCCTGCTCTGGTCTCTTCTGTAAACCCTAAACCCTCTTGTGCTGCTGTGAGGGACAAAGAGAAAAGACAAAGGGTTTACTCCCATTAAAGAGACCCGCCTAATGAGGAGACAAATAGCAGCAACAAGAACGCTGAAAGAGAGAGAGAGTGAGAAGAGGCCCTCGACAGCGGCGGCGTGTCAGCCAACCACCCGTTCCAGGCCAAACCCTAAACCCTAAACCCTAAACACTAAACAATTTTAGGTAAATCGTACAGACAGACGAAGCATCAATCCGTTCATATACAGATGGGCGGAGCGCCGTGGCTGCATGCGAGGCAACCGAAGCGCAGGGCCCCCCACCTGCTGCTGCGGCTGTCTGCAGTTTTCTATTCCTCTCGTCTTCAAATTAATAAAATGATTAAATGCAAAAGATTAAAAGATTTCTCCTGCGTAAACTGACTCCGAATAAGAGGGGATTCTGCCTGCGCTGCAGTCGAGGCCGTGGGGCATTAATGAATGGACGCAGCTGTGGCTGTCGGTCGCCTTCTTGTTAGAAGGAGAAGCGAACGTAAAATGCTTCGTTAATTGCTTTTATATGGTTTTCCCGCAGCAGTTACTCTGGAAATTCAAAACTCTAATCGACGAAGCAGCAGCAAAACGCAACAGCTGCTGCTGCTGCAACTACAGCTGTTCTCGTCTTGCAAACCTGGCTAGCGGCAGCTGGCGTGCGGCTGCAATTGAATTGCTGCAGGAGAAACGACACAGTCAAAAAACACCAGATAATAAAAATAGATTATAAAAATGAAAAATATAAAGGAGTAATTTCATCGGATCAAGTGGAAATCCATATTGAATTATTTGCGCTGAGCCGGATGCTTGCCGCGCTGAACAGGGTTGTATGAGCGTACAATATTGAACACAGTTATAGATATTATTAATTCTTACCAATATAATAGAGGTCTTTCAAGGTTGTGTTCAGCTTTCTTTTCTTCTAGGTATAACGAAGAGGCAGGGTGTTAACTGCTGCGGTGTACATGCACCTCTGTTGCTTCCCTTGCATTTCCAGGGAAGAACGTAATGAGAAACTCGCTTATATGTCGATCAACCGACAAAAACAAAAGACATCAGGTTTATTTCTTGTTGTACTTCCTCCTTTCTTCCTAGAAAGATAAATAACCGTCGCTTTCCCTTGTTTTTGCAACCTGGTTTCCGTTTCGGAACTCGTGCGATTTCAGGAAAGGTTTCTGCAGAGTATCTGCAATAAGACCGGGTTTTTATTCCTGGTTCATTCATTTCCTTATTTGTATTATTGTTTCTTTGTTTTAGTCCTTCGTTTTCTTCTTTCTTCTCCATTGCAATGGAACGCGATGGAGTTGAAACGCAGGAGTTGTGCGTGCAGGCTTTGCGCAGCGTTCGTTCAGCAAGTGATGCGGATCTGCTGGCAACACTGAATGAACTGGAGGGATTTGTGCCTCAAGTTTCTGGAAATTTAAACTTAATAAATGCAGATGCCGCACAAGAACTCCTTTACATTACTCTAGAAGCAGTAAACTGCCTGAGGATGCCGGTAGCTCAGGCGGCGCTTCGCCTGTTGAACGACGGTCTACCGGAAGAGGGGTTGATTGATATATTGGCTTGTGATGCTAACCTCGCTTTATCATCGGTAATTGCTTAGCTTGAAATATGGTTAAAACAACTAAAATAAACACATCTAACCCTTATTTTTCAGGATCTACTCGCCGCGTGCACGAGCAAGTGCTGGGTACTTGAAGACTTCATCTCTGCGTCCGTTCTCGAACTGTCTGTTAAGCTTTACGTAAGCAAAGGCGGAGAAAGAAATTTGTTATTTATTAATAATTAATCAATTAATTAAATGAAAATTTCATTCCGTCCTCTTGCAGCTAAGAATGGTACAAGAGAACACCTCCCGCATGTTCGTGCTTCTCGGCGAATCGACGCATAGTACGCCTTCTTTTCTAAGAACAAACACAACAAAACAAAACAAAACAAGGCCAGATTAAATCTAATTAAACTAATAAACAAGAAACAATAAAATGAAAGAACGAAAATATATCATGCAAAGCGAACGCATTATTTCTTGCTTTTTCAGGCGTTGCAGCAGCGGCGTTAAGGGTGTCTCTTCTTTGTTTAGGACGTTGTCTAGCTGATTATCCCACTGGTAATACATCATTTAAATTGCAATATATGAGGGGAGCCCTTTAAACAAATAAATAATAATTCTTCCTTTTCCTTCCTCAGCCTCTGAACAACAAACGAAGAGAAACGACTTAGCCAGAAAATTCGCCTTTCAACGGCCAGCAGTTGCAGCAGGGCGGCTATTTCTGCTGCTATTAGAAAGCGCTGACGATCTCTTATGTCAAGTGAGCCTAGGGTTTAGGGTTTAGCGTCTAGGGTGTAGGGTTTGGGGGTGAGGCGAAACGCAACAACTGCACGCGTTCTTGCTTGAATTAGTGCGTAAGCAGCAGCGATAAACAGCAGCAAACCAAAGCAATAAGCGATTTAAAACATAATTAATTCTAAGCTTTTATTCAATACTCTTCTAACAAACAGGTGGACGCAGAGCTAGAGGAGGTCGTCGCCTGTCTCGTTGGCCGCCTCCCCTACGCAGTGACCGGCACCTACGGTGAAACTTCTAACTAAATTGCATCAAGTGTACAAAAGCATATATATATAAATATATATATACATATATATATTTATTTATACCCATATCTATGTCTAACTCTAAGTCTAAAGCTAACGCTGAAACTGAATATGAATGTAAATTCCAACGCAAATAAACCAAAATATATATATATATATGTAAACAACTACATATATACGTAAAAATACAAGTATATATATGAATTTAATCTATTTATATGTATTTATATTCAGGCCAAATAATTCATAAGGCCCTCCATGCCGTCGCCCCGGAGACGCCCGGCAGCAGACGAGGCGCCGCAGTGCCAGCAGAAGAATTCGACTTTTATAAACAAATTCTAAATTTTGAGGATTTGTTTAAAGTGCTGTTGCGAATGAAGACCTTCAACATCGACATCTTCATGCAGTGGAGAGACAAAACGCAGAAACGAACAGCAGCAGCAGCAGCAGCAACAACACCACCCGCAGCCGCAGCAGCAGCAGCAAGCAGCAAGAGGCGTGCGTATGACGCAGGAATATTTAAGCAGGTTCGTGGAGTTGCAAGAGGAGGAAGGAAAAAAGAGCGAACAGAATATTAATTAAGAAAGCAACACAAATATCACTAGCAGCAATACTAACAAACCCCTTCTGCAGCATCCACAACCAAGAGAGCGCATAGTATGCGACGATCTGGCTTTGTTTATATGGGAGGCAGACGGCATCAGTGTAAGTTATTTGTATTCTTTTAATCGATATCTTCTTTTCTGCTGCTTGAAACACAAACAAGAAACATTCATTCATCCATACATTCATTCACCTTTATAACAACAAAACCCTCAGGGACCCACAATACGCACTATCCCTCTCTATGCAATTACGCAAATAAAAAGCGAAGGGAAAAGACTAAAATTCGTTTATCTCCAGCTGCCGACAGAAGGTAAACCTCTGATAAAATACTTGTTTTATTTATTGTTCTTTTCATTGTTTTATGTGCTTAATTTACTATGACATATATATATATATATATATATATTATCGTATGTATATGATTGTTTGTTGATTATTACTAGTTGTCTTAACCATATAAACCAACAGGAACAGACCCTGGGCTTTTGCTGGAAGAGGCGGAGGCATTTTTAGAGGGAGTGGAAATCGCCTGTCTTTCATTCAATAACGAAAAAGATGCAGCAGAATTCAAGCGGCAGTTTCTGCAGCATTATCAGCTTGACGTACGTATGAGTTACATATACAAATAAATAATTAATTAAATGTATTGATAAATAAATATATAAATGTAATACTATATGCGCGCATATATAAATAAATAAGTGAGTGAAATGAATGAATATGTTAACAAATAAAGGCGAACAAATAGATGCATTGAAACGCAATAAACAAACAAATAAACGACTGAACAAAGAAATAAGCACTTTGATTAAATAATACTCCTTCTTCTTGTTTAAATTTGTCATTAATTCCTTTTTGTTCATATGCAGCAAATGGAAGATTACGACTTCGCCTTTCTTGAGGGGGTGGTAGACGAGCTGAGGGAACCTCTTGACGCAGCAAAGGCAGAACAGCTTCTAAAGCCATCACTGCTGCTGCATGGCTGCAGCAGCAGCAGCAGCAAAAGTGGAATAAACAGAAAAAACAACAAAGACAAACAACAGGGAGACGGCAGCAGCAGTACACATCAACAGCAACTGATTATGTTCGCCTCAACCAAAGTATGACGGCTGCTTAGAAACCGTTTCATCGAATACCAATTAAATATTATTAACTTTTAACATTCATAAAACTAACATTAAAATAATAAAACGAATTAAATAACGGCTGTTTCATCCCCTATTTGCATGCATCAGGAAATTCAAGAAGACGACAACCTTAGCACCCAGGAGCCGAGGAGGAGGGAGAGCTGGCAAGAGAGAACAGGTCCGTCGATCCCCCTCAAATAGGACAATAAACATTAAATAAAACATATTAAACAAATAAACAAACAAATAAATAAACATTGAAGAACTATTTCTTCATATTCACGCTGTTCAGATGGCAAGAAACGGATCTTCTCTCCTGTTAGACAGGGGAAGGCCGAGGCGCGCAGCGACCCAACAGGTTGGTGAATGTTGGCCTTTAAAAAGCCGTTAAAAAGCGAGAATAAATACAAATATGTAAACATAAATGCATATTTACATTAATATATACTACTTTTTTCCCCAAAACCACAGAGAGCTGCAGAGGACCCTCGTACGCTCAAGCCTATCATCACCCTCTTGCTAATAACGACGGCCGCCCGCGGCCGCCTCCTCCTCCTAAACTCTCTCAATGGAGACGCATCAGCCTTGCAACAACAAAGAGCAGCGATACTGAAGCGTTTGGGTTTCCTCTGACTGAAAATACCCTGAAAAATCACGACAAACAACACCAAGAAGACGAAGCCAGGAGGGGTGGAGAGACCAGTGGACAGACCATTGGAGAACAACTGAAGACCGGAAGAGGAAGCAAGAACAAAGAAGCAGAAGATATGCAAACAGAAGAAACACACGAAGAACAAACAGATCACCCAAGAAATCAGCTGTTATTTCAAGAAGAAGACAGCCTAAATGAATTGCCTCCACTGACGAAGCAACTGGGCAAAAAAACACGAACACAGACGCACACACAGCAACAACAGAAGCAGCAACGGAAACAGCAACAGCAGCAGCAGCAGGTGCAGCAGAGCCAGCACCGGCAGCAGCCACAGACGACGCAGCAGCAGCAGCAACAACCGAACCAACAGGCAGCAGCAGATGCATCAAACGACTACAATGCCCCTATTCTGCAGCAGTCTCCTTCTTCCTTCAAACGCTGTGAGATCGGAGGGACAGGAATTTCTTCGTCTGCATGCAGCGTCCGAGTTGACAGTGTAGATGGAAAGGGAGATAACAGAAGAAGACAACAGACGCCATTTGAAACACCAATATCAGCAGCAGCAGCAGCAACAGCAGAAGCAACAGAAGCAGCAGAAGCAGCGGAAGCAGCAGCAACTGATGCACGAGAATCGCCGCAGAAGTATATCTCTTCTCCTTCTGTTGCGGCTTCTTGCCTTCCTCTACCTCCACAGAACAATGTGGAAGCAGCATCAGAACAATCAAAAGAGGCCAATGCGAGGGAAGACCAAACAGAGAACAGCAGCCTGCATGCACTTGTACGTGTCTCTTTCTTTGCCTCTTTGCTATCACAAACAGCAGCACTGTCTTTATTTACGTGTTTTTAATTCGTTTTTATTTTAGGCAGCATGCAGCAAAGAAGCCGAGGAGCAAACAAATCAACTGGCCAGCAGAAAAGACAAAGAAGAAAACATCTCTTTAAATAATTTTTCTCGCCAGCCTCTTCTGCTGTTTACACACGAAAACACCAGAAAAACACAAGTGCAAATGCAACCAGAATTCTTCGGGGCTCTTCAGCTGCACGAACAGCTGCAGGTGCACCTGCAGCAGCAGCAGCCGCAGCAGCAGCAGCAGGAGCTGGCGAGCAATATGCTGTGGCAGCGAGGAGTGGAGACGGAGAGCATCACAGGCCTCCTTGTAAGGCTGAGTTTTTCGCAGCTATAATAATAAATTGAATGGCTTGAATAATAAAGAATGCAGAATAATAATAAACAAATTAATAATCAAATAATAATTAACTTGTCGGTCTTTCATTATTTCTTTGTTCGTGCTTACAGGCAGCCTTAAAGCAAAAAGTACAAGAGGCAAAACTAGCTAAGGTGGAGGAGGCCCGACAGACGTGAGAGAAGCAGTTGCAGCAGTTGTTTGAGCTACTATTAATTATTAATTGTCTTATTATTTATAACGCTTGTTTGTTTGTCTTAATATTCTTTTCTTCTGTCTCCTAAAGGGCGACGAAACTGCAGCAGAAAACAGCAAAAAAACTGCTGGCGCTGCTGCAAGCGCAGCAAGAGGAAAGGCAGCAATTGCAGCGATCCTATGAAGAGGTGAAGAAAATAATAAAATGAATATTTAAAATAAATTATTTTAATTAACTCTAAAGAATTTATTATCTACCAATCATTAAATTAAGAGGCGCTTTTTGCGGTATTGCATAGTCTATTATATATACATGTTTTGTGTACAATAGACAGAAAATCTATAAAGTATATAAAATATATAATGTATATAAATTGTTTAAAATATATGAAATATATTTGAATTAATACTTCTTCTCTCTTGCAGGCAAAGAAGAAAATACTGCACAGACTGGCAGCGCAGACAAAGACAGCGCAAGTGATACCAACTTTAAACATTTCTGCTCCTAACACCTTCAATAAAGAAAAGACAGAAGAACTAAAACAAGTAATGCTTTTGTTTGCTTTTGCTTATTATTAATCAGCCTTCTTTAACTAAATCTTCTTATTATCATTTTTATCTCCTTTGCTGTTGCTGTTTGTATTTGTTTGTTTTGTTCATTCAACGTCTTTTCTTGCATTTTTCTGTTGTTTATCTTGTTATTGTTTATTTTGTTTATTTATTATTTATTTCTTTTATTGGGTATATTTTTATTGCTTTAAGCAACAGCGTTTTCCTGTTGTTGTCTATCATGTTATTGTTTGCGTTGTTGAATTAGTATTTATTTCTTTCATTATTGTTTTATATTTATATTGCTTTAATTGTCTCTATTTATTTATTTTTCTTCTTTCTCTCTTCTCATCGCCTCTCTTTCTTCTTTTCAGGCTGCATGCGAAGAAATCGCCAAATGGGTGGACGAAGTCAAACAAAAAATTCGAACAAAACTACAAAATGCAAATGCAGTGAGAACTAAACAAAGTAATAATTATAGTTATCATTACAATAATATTAATAACAGTTATACTAATTATTATTATTATTATTATTACTGCTGTTATTATTATGCAATGTAATATAGAATAAATAATATAAGTACTTTTATTTTTTTCATCATGCATGTTTATGTTGGTGGGTGTTTGATTGGCTAGTTAATTGGCTTGGTGTAATAATATAAATATAACGCATTATAAAGAGTGTATGCATGTCTATATGCATATAACATATATACGATATAATATATATATTATATACGTATATAGTTAATATCTATATACAATATGTATATATTATATAGTGTAAGTGTATATATTATTATCGATTTGTATGACTATGGTGTAAATGCGTTAATTGACGCTCTCTTTTTCGTCTTTTTTATTTGTATAAACTGCAGAATGCAGCGTTGAAGTGCGTTTGATGAGAAGACGAAGAGGACAAGAAAAGAAAAAGATTAAATTACTTTTAAAGCAAACGCCAAACAAAACGAAGAAATAATGCGTGCCTGTCTTCAACTCTAACAAATGCAGCTCGAATATATTTAAACAAACCATTTCAATTTATTTTAAAAGAATTGAACAATTATTTTTTTAAAATTTTAATTTATTTGAAGCAATTATTTTATTATTTTAAACAAACCATCTAAATTTATGAAAAACGATTATTTAATTGTATTAAGAAAAACTTTCTTAATACAATTAAATAATTGAGTGAGTGTATTGAAAGCAAATATTTAGTTATATTCAACAAGCCGTTTAAACGCATTTTTAATCAAATGTTTAAATATGTTTATAAGCGAAGAAGCGATGTAATTTTATATTAAATAAAATGCTTTAAATACAGGAGAACAAAGTACTTGAGTTAATTTTAAATAAATGTTTAAATATATTTACTGACAAGTGGCTTTGCTTTTGAACAACTGTTTAAATATATTTATAACGAGTTATTCATATTCAATATAAAATAATTATTTAAATGTATTTTAAAAAAGCAATTTAAATTAATTTTAAATGCATTTAAAGTAGGTTTTAATAATAATAATTAGTGGGATATATTTCTAACAAATAATTTAAATTTGTTTGTTTGCATATTATTTAAAAAATAACTTTTTAAATTTATATTCAATGAACGGTTTATATTTACGTTTAAAAAATTGTTTTGATGATGATGTGTCTAAGTAATGAGTTAAATCTATTTTAATTAGTTGCTCTAATATATTTCGAGCAGACAATTTAAAAATGTAGTTAAACATACTATTTAAATTTGTTTCTTTAAGATGTTTAAATTTATTTCTTTGATTTTTATTATGTTGATTATATAAATTTCAAAGAGGTAATATCGATTGTTTATAACGACACAGTTAATCGCTTAAATCCTTTTTTCTAATAAAATAAATTGAATAAACATATTTTAATTATTTTGTTTGTTTGATCAATGTTTTAATTGAATATATTTCTTCATTTTTATATCTTTTCTTCGCTCTTTACTGCTTGCAACGATAACAACAGCGGCTCTGACCCTTTTGAATTTTTTCTTCTTTCTTTTTTGTTTTTGTTTATTTATTTATGCTTTGATTTTAAAATGTTTATTTTTATTTGTTTTATTAATTAGAATAAAATAATAATTTTATAAAATAATTATTATTCTCTCTTTAGAGGGAATCGAAGCCCCTCCAGCCCCAGAGTGACCATAGGCGATTATAGCGGTTTTAATTTCTTTTTTATTATTTTGTAAAATTAAATTAAAAGAAAAGTTTAAAAATAAATTTAAAAAGATATTTTCTAGAATTGTATTTCAATGAGTTATGCTGAAGACAGAAGAAACGGCGAGAGTCTTCATCGCCCTTTCGCTGCATTTTTAGATTTTGTTTTGCAGTAAAAGAATTAAAAAAATATATTTATTTGAACTTAAATTCAATTCAAATAAATAAATTTTAATTATTCGTCTTTCAGTATTATTCAGCCCTCCTCTTTTCTTTTTCTTACAACAACCAACACAAAAAGAAACAGCAGCAAAAGAGTTTAACTTAGCAGCAGCAGCAGCAGCAGCAGCAGCAGCAGCAGCAGCAGCAGCAGCAGCAGCAGCGACAGCAGCAGAAGCAGAAGCAGTGTTTAGTTTCGCAGCAGCAAGAGGGTTTTGATAGAAAACTTCCATGAAGACCGGCGTCGGGCAACTGCGCTTTTGTTACCTGATCTCCAAACCCTAAACCCTAAACCCTAAACCCTAAACCCTGATGGCGTCATCTGAGGAGGAGACATCAAACCACTACGGGGTTTTAGCAGTTGCTTATGCTGAGGCATGCAGCAAGAAGAAGCGAAGCGTTCATTCATTGTTGTTTAAACAGCTACACTCTGCTTCTACAACATTTAATAAAGATATCCCTTTGAGTTTGATTTGTAAAGGAAATGAAGCAGAGTCTTTCTTACATAGACTTACAGATGAAGATCTGCTGCTGCTGCTGCAGGTGCTGCAGCAGCAAGAAGCGCAGCTGTTGCTGCTAAACCTCTCTTATCATGCATTAACAGAAGCAGCAGGAGAG